AACCAAGTGAAACATATGTATAAAATTCTTTGCGCTACAGGATATCACAGTTGTATCTAAAACTCTAAATAATTCTCTTTTCTTGTCAAAAGTTCACACAGGCTGGTTAAATTACTTTAGAACCAAGTTGACAAGATGAAATATTTTTCTCTACTCTGTTACTATACATTCTGCGATAAATTTACTTAGTTCCTCCTGTTACCCCGTATGTTACCATAGTTATATCCAGAACTTTAAATAATTGTCTCCTTTTCGTAAATGTCAACACGGGTGGGTTCAATTACTTTAGAACACCATATGACAAAACAAATTATTTCTCCTTATCTCTGTTAAACTGTGAAACTCACTTCAAAATAGTGTCCATTATGGCTAAACTAACAATCATGCAGTCTAATTTTACTTTTACTATCTCAGCTTTTTCTGATTTAACTTCCTTTGTTCTTTACCACAGTTGTATCCAGAGCTTTAAATAATCGTCTCTTACTTTTTCGTGAATAGTCCACAAAGGCTGGTTCAGTTACTTTAGAACCCAATTGGCAAGACAAATAATTTTTCCTATCTCTGTGGTTACAATACAGCTGTGGAACACACTGTAGAAATCACCTGTTAAGGCTAATCATTCACACGCCGGCTAACTTTCACTAACTAACTTTTTTTCTGACTGAACTTTACTTTCACTTCACTTAACTTGTTCTCGTTCAGTCACCTATATATATATATCTTACCCAACTGAGGCCTGGAATTTTCTACAACCCAGGAAACGCTATGATGTAACAATACTCACTTGGTGAGAAAAATACCGAAGGTTCGAGTAATGTGACGACAATAGTATTACTAAAGCCTAGCACAACAATCAACTGTATACACAACGTACGACTCGTACAAAGTTAGGTAACACAATTTATCATAACTAACGCTTTTAAAGCAATCAACCTTCAACACCCCTGTCATGAAAACTAAACAATCATTAAATATCAAAATAAACTAACTAGTAACGCTTACACTAAACAATCTTGTATATCCCACATACAGTAATATCATAATATAATACACACTCAATATGAACGTTTTTTTAATTGTACACATTAGTTCATAATATTCTTTCTGTGTTATTAACCAGCTTTTTATCACTTTTTAACATCAGTATACATTTTAATATTTATTATATTTATCGGAATTGTAATAAATAAACTTGGTGTTTGATAACTTAAGTTATTTCTTGCGTAGTTATTTTTTGCTTCAGTTAAATAATAATAACCTAACTTTACTTATTTTATATCTTTATTATGATTTATTTTAATTATAAAAGGCGATAAAAACAGTGCTTTATTATAATAGTGTACTGGTATAATTTAAACACATCCATTATATTCAAAGTAATATATCGTTATTATAATGGTGTATTGGTATAATTTAAACACATCCATTATATTCAAAGTTATATATCGTTATTATAATGGTATATTGGTATAATTTAAACACATTCATTATATTCAAAGTTATATATCGTTATTATAATGGTGTATTGGTATAATTTAAACACATTCATTATATTCAAAGTATATATCGTTATTACAATGGTATATTGGTATAATTTAAACACATTCAATATATTCAAAGCTATATATCTTTATTATAATGATGTATACTTTACACACATTCAATATATTCAAAGTTATATATCTTTCATAAGCGACCATATTATTTATTTTTCTTATTGGTAAAATATTTTTACTATAGTGTTGTGTAACTGCAATATTTTGCTCAGCTGAGAATTGCAAGTAAACCTGTGTATTGTTAAAATCACAGATTCAAAAAAAAAGATGTATAAACCAACTGGCACACAGAAGGAGGAGTATCAACATTAGAGATGTATCTTCCTAGTTTTTATTTTTATAAAATGTATTGTTCAATAATGACAAAGAACACAATACTTGTTTATACTAGCACCTATCATAAGTGCTTGTACTGAAGCAAGCTTGTGTCGGTAGACACGCGTTTTTTGATAAGACTGTATAATGTTTTGTATAGATGTTTGTGTACAGATAAATAATAACACATTTTACAAGCATAATGGCCAGATGGTTAGAGCGCTTGACTGGAGGTCACGGGTTCTAATCCCGTCCTACCATACATGCTCGCTCTTTTAGCCGTGGGGGCATTATCCTGTAACGTTCAATCCCACTATTCCTTGGTAAAAGAGTAGCCCAAGAGTTGGCGGTGGGTAGTGATGACTAACTTCCTTTCCTCTAGTTTTCGCCGCTAAATTAGGGACGGCTAGCGTATATAACCCTCGTGTACTTTTGCGCGAAATTAAAAAACAAACAAACAAATCTTTTGATGGGACTACTTAACGGTTAAACTTTTTGTATTTTTCGCACTAATTAACGAAATATACACTGAACTTGTATAAAGATAGAAGAAGAAGAAGAAGTGGGTAATAAGTAAGAGCTTAACCTAAGGTTTGCTTCCAGCTGCTGAATTAGTTGAATTGAATCCAGGAGACTTTATAGAGTAACATTTTTGAGAGTGAATTCCATCACAATGTAACAACTAAAATCCGGAGAATATACAGTAAAAAATTAGCTCATAATGTTTAAAAGTACGCAGAATTTGCCATTTATCCCTGATGAAGGAAAGTCCGTTTTCCGAAAGCGCTTTGGTTATTGGTTTCTTTTTCTTCTTAGAGTAAAAAATTAGAAATAAATTTTGTGGATCAGCAAAGAACGGTATTTTATTGAGAAATTGCTACAAAATATAGGGGATGGTAATATGGACGTGTTCTATCCTTCTGTCACTGAATTTCACAGACTTCATTCATTATATCAATAACTTAAATATAAGTATATATAGCTGGGTTGGCAAACAAGTCGATGCTACAAAATATGCAAATAAACCAGTTTTTATAATTTTGAGTAAATTAAAAGCAACATACAATATTAAGTTACATGACAATCGCATTCCTGACATATTTCATATTTTCACCTAATGTTGTTTATTGCTGTTGACAACTTATGATAATTGTAGGTGATTCATCAGTATATTCGCAACAACAGATTAACTGCAGAAGTCGTTTCACTAATTTAAAATTCAGACAGTTAATTTGTAATTCCAATAGCAACTTTTGCATTTCTCAGCCTTTTATCGTACTTTCTATCGTGTGTTACCACAACTGTGCTTTGCCCTTATGATATTGAGTTTTCATATTGTTTGTGGTGCTTGTAATTGTAAGCTACCATAATCATATTCTACATATGAAAATATGCATTATCAAAGCCTCGTATTATTATTGCCTTCCCTAAATCGTACATAATATATACAGACGTGCGTCGCGACATAATACATATACTTACAGTTGTGATTTACCATAAGTGGTGTGCATTAAAGGTGCACATATAAGATTCCACAGTCGCATGTTATAGTTTAGGTTAGTTATTAGCATAACTGTGCAAATCTTGTGAAGTGTTGTTGGGATTACGGCCTAAAGTACCATTATCCATAACAGTACCCAACAGATAATTCGGTGAAATTTCCTCATTGTTACGTATTTCTTGACATTACGTTATAAAGGATTGTAATAATGAACACATGAATTACTTTTTTGAAGCATTGCGTACCTGATCATCATACTTACAACAATGTGTTACCACTTTTGTATATCATAGTTACAACTGAGCGTTATGACAATTGTTTGATATACTTACAACTTCATGTTTTATAGTATCACGCCGTTTAGAAGTCGGCAAAGAATGATTACACCCACATTTGTCATAAGACGTTAGAATTAGGTCTAATACATTTTAAACACTTCGTTTTTAATCTAATCCCTTAAGGATTTTCTAGAATTAGAATAGTGTAAACTAATACTATTCCAACCATACTATATTTGTCATATCTATGTATAATCCATGCAGTGGTTTTACTACAGCCGTGTAATTATAATTGTAAGTTTTACTACAAACGTGTATTCCACTTGTAATGGCCTTACTATATCCTTGTGTAATCCATACAATTTTCTTACTACAGCCATGTATAATCCATGAAATAGTTTTACTACAGCAATGTATAATCCATGCAATAGTTTCACTACAATAATGTATAATCCATGCAGTGATTTTACTACAACAATGTATAATCCATGCAGTGATTTTACTACAACAATGTATAATCCATGCAGTGATTTTACTACAACCGTGTATAATCCATGCAGTGATTTTACAAAAGCCGTGTATAATCTATGGAATAGTTTCACTACAACAATGTATAATCCATGCAGTGACAGCAGAGAATACGTGTTGTTGTAAGTATAATACCGATATGTGGTAATAGTGGCTGTAATCACGCACTATTCAAGTATAATACATAAATACTGTTGTAAGTATGATATAGAACTGTAGTAATAAACAATTGCAAGAATGATACACGATTGATATAAGTTAAAGTTGAAGCTATAGTACTCAAATATATAATGAAAATTTGAAAGTATAATACATGGATGTGTTAACGTACATTTGGAAGTACGATACACAGCTATAGTCAAACCGTTGCATAATAGATTATACACTGTTGTAGTAACACAATTGCATAGATTATACACAGCTGTAGTGAGACAATTGCGTAGTTTATACACGGATATAGTAACACTGTTGCATGAATTATACACTGTTTTAGTAAAACTATTGCATAGATTATACACGGCTGTAGTAAAATCACTGCATGGATTATACATTGTTGTAGTGAAACGTGTGTGTAATGTCAGACTGTTCAAGCATCATCCAAGGATAAATGCTACCTTATGATAAATAACCATAAGTGTGCTGCAAAAAGTTGGATATATAATACGTGTGTGTAAGGTCAGACTGTTCAAGCATCATCCATACCGATTGAAAGGATAAATGCTACCTTATGATAAATAACCATAAGTGTGCTGCGAAAAGTTGGATATATAATGTTCAATCGGTATTATATCTGAAACTATGGGTTAGTATAGCCGTGTATCATACAGTTTTCAGTTACTAAATTAGTGTGTTGGAAAACCTGATGTTACATTTGTAGCTTTGTGTTATCATAGAGGAGAATAATTTTAAATAGTATTTTTATTTTCTCTTGTTTCCTCCAAACATTTGCAAAAAAGGATCTCTCCTCTCCAAGCCGATAACAAAGTAGCATAAAAAACTGGAAAGTTACACCATTACTCTAACTGGAAAGTTACACCATTGCTCTATCAGACGTCTATTTACCATTAACTCACAACTGTTTTGGTATGCGAGTTGAGACCAGGAGACAGGTTATTGTGAAGCATAGTCTGGGAGTAGGAAGCACTGGAAGCCAACTCAATAGGAACGTGCGATACAGAAGTACCACTAGATATAGGGTAGGAGTAAGCAGAACCTGAAATACATCATCACACAAAACATTGATGTTTCTCAAGAACAAAACTTGCAAATGCACACTTTTTATTATTACATCTGTAACTGATTATTCATTTCGCTAATTCATAATATTCCACACCAGGAAGCCTGTGACTGATAATTGTGTTTCTACTAAGTATTAGCATACCACGTTAAAAGTCCTGAGACTATTTATTTGTTTTTATGGTTCTTAATGTTCCACATTAACTTGTTGCTCACTTGGGAATTCTTAACTTTTCATATCAGGAGTTCTGTATAGATATTATAAGTGTGGTGTACCGTTCTGTGAAGTTACTATTATTTTCTTTTTTTGAAGGAATGACAATTTAGTTCAGGCAGGATTCGAACCTGTTATCTCATTGATGAAACAGACGCTTTTTCTGAGAAAGCTACCGCACCTCAAATAACTAACCCGTCCCGTCAATATTCAGCGCATTTGTTATTAAGAACAGAACTTGGTTGGATTCCTGTAACTAATTATTAGGTTGATTAATTCTTAATATTTCGTTTTAGGATTTTTCTAACTCATAATATGTATTAACAACTGCTAAGATTTCACATAGGGGTTCCTGTAACTAACTGTTATTTTTGCTAATTTTTAGTTTCCCATATCAGTATTCTTGTTACTGATCTCTTGTGTCAATAACTCTTAACATTTATTACTATCAATCACTTAATCTTAATCGCTATTTCTGTTTTATTTGTTTGTAATTCTTAACATTCCTTATCAAGTCTGTAAATTATTTTTAGTTTTGCTAATTCTTAATATTCAACATCAATATTTTAGAAATTGATTATCCGTTTTCTAATTCATATCTTTGGACATCAGGATTTTTGCGACGATTTATTCATTTTTTAATTGGGACCTGGCATTGTCTGGTGGTTAGGGAAATCTGAGGGTCGTGGAATCGAAACCTGTCACTGAAAGTGCTCGCCCTTTCAAACGAAAGTGCGTTATAATGTGACGGTCGATACCACTATTCCTTGGTAAAGAGTGGCCCAAGGGTTGTTGGTGGGTGAGGTTAAGTAGCTCCCTTCCATATAGTCTATCACTGCAAAATTAGAGACGGCTGGGGCAGATAGCTCTTGAATAGCTTTACGTGAAATTCAACAAAAGCAAAGAAAAAAAAAACATTGTTTTGCAATTCTTATCTTTGAACATGAACATTTGTGTATTGTTTATTCGTTTTGTGATTCATAACCTTTTGCACAAAATTCCTGTACCGATTTTTAATTTTGCCAATTCTTAGTTTTGTATATCAAAATTCCTGTGATTGTGTTTTCGTTTTCGTAAATCTTAATACTCCACTTCACAATGGCTGTAATTATTTGTTTTCCATTTCTTAATACTGCATGGTAAAATACAAAAAACATAGAACTGTATACAATCTATTGCGGTTTAGTTTCGTGTATATATAAATATATAGAACGTTCAGAAGACTCTCTCTTCTACCTTAAGACAACAACAATAATATAATGAATGCTTACCCACTGAAGATTGTTTCCCAAACCCTTTCGTGCTGTTTGAATTGACGTTTCCTGAAGTAGTTGGTGTTACACATTTACAAACAGGAATTGGAGATTTATCATTCTAAATGAAGAAAGGTAATAAAAAACATTTAAAGAAACCAATCAAAAGGGTCATTGTTATCTGCAATTTAATGATATGAGGCTCATTAGGCATGTAATTAATTAATTGGTCCAATAGAACCCGTCTCAACAAAATAACAAAGGGAAGTAATATCTATATTCTACACCAAATCTATAAAAAATAATGAAATTCAACGAAACATAATAAAGTTATATAAAATGAGCAGTATTACAACTTGACATTGTATATCCATTTTTGAAGTAAAAACTGACGTTTTGTAATGTTTTCCAGCGGATTTTTATTGCAGAGACTATTAATCGAAGGACCTCATTCGTCCAGGTTTAGAGTTTGAGTGAATCAGTCAGACCTTCCTTGGCGAATAAAAGAAGTGTAGAACTGATTAGGTAACAAACTAACGGTGAGTTTAGAAAACGTTTTTAATATACCTGTTCGCTTTAGTTTAAGGACAGTTATATACAATATACAGTGGCACAGCGGCATGTCTGCGAACTTAAAACGCTAGAATTCGGGTTTCGAGACCCGTGGTGGGCAGAGAACAGATAGCCCATTGTGTAGCTTTGTGCTTAATTACAAATAAACAAAGCTAAATGGCGATAATACCTACTTATAATGTTATAGCTTTGAGATGAAGACTTGTTTGTTTGTATTTTAAGCACAAAGCAAGCATTTGATTATTGTTCATGTGATCTAATTGCACATCATTGGTCGTTCAGCCTATTCTATGTACATTGGTATTGTACAGTTGTATTTCAGTAGTAATTTAGAAATGAATAACACAGACTAAAGTGTTAGAAACTATTCGAGAACCATAATTAGACCCCCGGAGAAGGCATTTAAATGTTTTACTGATATAGATGACATCGAAGAAATGGAAGCTGGTCTATTGCATCAAGCTGTTGTGAATTATCTAGAAGGGTTTAAATTATTGTTATCAAAATATGGAATCGCTTCCAAACTAATTGTACAGTTATTTAGATACCTAGACAAGGCACGATCGCCACCTACAACACAAATAACGACACTACCTGTCGATTCTGATTCATTACTGCATGACTAAATCAGATGTTCGCAGCCGCAATTGAACATTGTGTCAGTGTAAAGACAGTTAAAAACATATTTCACAAAACCAGCCTCTGTGTTAGGAGTACAATAAGTTTCATTCCGTTTTTAAATACATATGAAGCAATAGTCTTTTTACATAAGAGTCACCTCTAACTCAGCAGCTAAGTAACAGACGTGTACTCGTAGGAATAAAACCTTAAACTATATCGCACCTAGTTTTCATATAGGGAGGGATAAGATGCATAAGTGGTAGTTAAGAATGGGGTTGGCATGAATGAAACATTGGTGGACGTGGCAGCCTTACGTTTTGCAAAATGGACCAATAATTGTTCTGCTACTTAATCTAACCAGAATTGACAGTGAGTAATGTAAGATATTTAAAATATTTGGTGCGTAAGTTTGGTAAATTGTTAAATTTAGTTCAGTTAACAACAACAACAACAAAAATAATGACCTAATTCACTTTTAGTAATTTATTTAAAACAAGTTAATGAGAATTGTTGCGCTAAATATATTTTCATAACTATTATTTTTAAAGAACGCATAGTAAAAAGAATATGTTAATTTTGTGTGCTTCAGAAATTCGCGAAAAGTTAAGCATGGCTGATTCTAATTTTGAGCTGGTGAACTAGAAGGAAGTCAGCTACTCAACAGTACCTACTGCCAACTCGTGGTTACTCTTATCTGATAGAATAATAGATTTGACAGTCACTCTTATAGCCCACTCGTGGATCCAATAGACGGAGTAAGTTTTTACTGCAATGAGTCGCGAGCAATGAATTCTGGGATTAACAGTCTGAGCGTGGTAAACCTTAGAATACACCTGGTCTAAAACTAATGAAAGCGTCATTCCTACCAAAACTTCGTCACCTTACTATATTCCACATCAATTATACCATTCCCACCAAAGCTTCGTCACCTTACTATATCCCGTATAAATCATACCATTCCCACCAAAGCTTCGTCACCTTACTATATCCCATATCAATTATATCATTCCCACCAAGGCTTCGACACCTTACTATATCCCATATCAATTATATCATTCCCACCAAGGCTTAG